GTCTAGATGGCTAATTTCCGTTGAGACGCCGCCGTGACCGAAATTCAGCGTAGAGGGCATTATAATTTTAACTTGTCTACAGTCTTTTCAATTGTTTAAGTTATTAGTAAATCCTGTTTTAGCTTTATATCATATAGTTGCAATGTACATATTATTAATGAATTACGTAATAACGTCATGTAAATATACCTTTTTATGGTAATGATAATTCACAACTTGTTTCAAAATACGATAGAATATAGAATAGTTTACGCAATAAATCATGATATCTATTTCTTTGCGGATGCTTAGATATAAGCCGTGTATCGCAAGATGGCCTGAACAAATAATTAAGATATACTTAATTGACGAATGTTTTAGTACGTTTCTGATAAAAAAATATTCTTGGAAACGCGACAGAAATTATTCTTTTTCAAAGATAAATTACCTCGTATACTTTTAGCGTTCTGTGGCGAATAAAGAAAAACAAAATAATATGGTATCATTTCGATACGATTCTGTCTGTCTTTCACTACAAACAGAACTAAAATCATGTTATAGCAACTATACTTATCATGAATTAGCTACCGGAAGTCAGTATTTTTAATGTCATCCTAGATAGGCCTAGAAATAATCGACGGATGTAATTAAAATAACCTTATACTGAAAATACTTCGATTGCAATAACCCCTGACAGAAAATTGAAAAAGCTAAAAAAAGGTCACTTTATATACGGGTCATAAGCTCATAAGTGATTGATTACTCGAATTTAATATTTTTAGTGTTTTGTGATACTTAGTTCAAAATGTAATATTATGCTTCATGACATAATTTAATTAAAGTAATATTAATATTTGTGATAATAATATCAAAACATTCTTAATTTTTTTAAGAAAATAAATAACTTTGAAAAAAGTTGATGCCATGACATATTTAAATATAGCCAGTTATTTTCATAAAACACAGAAGTATTCCTTTTTTACTTTCTTTTTCAGTAACTTTTTTATAGATAACAAAAGCAATAAATATAAAAGTTATGGAATAGTTTGTGAATAATTTATACGTTTAAATTTTCTTATAAAAATATATAAATTAATTCATAACATACTATCAAATAATGTCTATTGCTAAATATCCTCCTCCCTCCATCCCTTATTTCATCATCATCATTACAGCCTTTCATAAGTCCACTGCTGAACATAGGCCTCCCCCAAGGAATGCCACAAAGCACGGTCCTGAGCCACCTGCATCCATCGACTTCCTGCATGTCTTACCAGGTCGTCACTCCATCTCGTGGGGGGTCGCCCTACACTTCGCCTACCCCTCAACCTACCTAGAACTACTACCTACCACTCAAGAACCTCTCTTCCCCATCAGTTGTCGGTTCTTAGAGCTATATGGCCGGCCCACTGCCACCTCAGCTTACTAATCCGTTGGGCTATATCGGTCACTCTGGTTCTACTGCGGATATCCTCATTTCTAAGTTTATCACGCAGAGACACCCCGAGCATAGCCCTCTCCATAGCTCGCTGAGTGACCTTGAGCTTCCTCATACGGCCAGCTGTGAAGGACCACGTCTCAGATCTGTAAGTCGTCACTGGCAACACGCACTGGTTGTATAATTTCGTTTTAAGGTTTTGAGGAATGTCTGACGAGAATATGTGTCGTAGTTTTCCGAACGCTGCCCAGCCGAGTTGAATCCGTCGATTGACCTCTCGGTCGAAGTTGGACTTACCTAGTCGGACGATTTGTCCCAGGTAAATATACTCGTCAACAACTTCGAGCTTAGTGCTCCCAACAACTACCGGCATAGGTGTGACATGGACATTGAACCTGATCTTTGTTTTGTCCATGTTCATCTTAAGACCTATCCGTTGGAAGACACTATTGAGGTCATTGAACATGGTGCTTAGATTCTCCAGCGATTCTGCCTATATTGTCGGCAAATCAAAGGTGAGTGATGTACTCGCCATTGATGTTAATACCGTATCCTTTCCAGTCCAGAAGCTTGAAAACGTCACTGAACAGTTGTCGTCTGGTCGTCATAATGAAGTCAATCTCAGTTTTTGTCGAACCGTCGGGGCTCGACCAGGTCCACTTCCTGTGGGGCCGCTTCTAGAAGAAAGAGTTCATCATAAAGAGTCCCTCTTTCTCCATGAAGTCGGCCAGCTGCTGGCCCCTTGGGTTCCGTTGCCCTATTCCAAATTTCCATACTTTCAGCTCACCGTTCTCTCTTGTGCCTAGTTTTGCATTGAAGTCTCCCATTAACACCGTATATTGGGTTTTGGAGGAATGCATGGCTCTAGAGATATCCTCATACATTTCTTCCACCTCCTCATCGGGGGGTGCCGAAGTTGGTGCGTAAACCTGTATGACCTTCAGCGAATACCGTTTGGTGATTCTGAGTATAAGGTACGCAACCCTCGTCGACACACTCTCGATCTTTACAACGTTGTTAACGAGAGACTTGTGGACGAAAAATCCGACACCTCCTTGGGACAGATGGTCGCCCTCCCCGTGATAGAGCAAGTTTTTTTTTTTTTTTATAGGAGAGGGGGCAAACGAGCATGCGGCTCACCTGATGGTAAGTGACTACCGCCGCCCATGAACAACTGCAACACCAGGGGAATCGCAGATGCGTTGCCGGCCTTTTAAAAAGGAGTACGCTCTTTTCTTGAAGGTCCCTAAGTCGTATCGGTCCGGAAAAATCGCTGATGGTAATCGATTCCACAAGGAGGTCGTGCGAGGAAGAAAACATCTTCTAAATCGCACAGTGGTGGACCGCCAATCATCCAGATGGTGTGGATGGTATCGGGAGTTCTGCCGCGATGTGCGTTCGTGAAATTTGGCGGCTGGGATTAATCCGAACAATTCCTCAGAGCACTCCCCATGGTAGATGCGAAAGAAAATGCAAAGGGATGCAACATCTCTTCGCAGTGCCAATGAATCGAGCCGATCGGAAAGGGCTCGGTCGTCGACAATTCGAGCCGCTCTGCGTTGGATGCGGTCAAGTGGAAGGAGCTGGCACTGGGGAGCCCCTGCCCAGAGATGGGAACAGTATTCCATGTGAGGCCGAACCAGCGCCTTGTAAAGTAGCAGGCGGTGTGCCGGCATGAAATACTGTCCCGCTCTGCTGAGCACGCCAAGCTTTTTAGAGGCCAATTTGGCCTTCCCTTCCAAGTGACCACGAAACTGCACGTCACTCGATATGTCGACTCCGAGGATACCGATACTGGCTGAGGCAAGAAGGGGAGTGCCTTGAAACTGAGGAGATACGACAAAGGGGTTCTTTTTAGCGGTAAACGCGCAAACTTGTGTCTTCTGAGGATTAAATTGGACTAGATTTAGTCGCCCCCAATCCGAGACTTTGTTCAGCAAAGACTCGACTTCAGACACAAGTTTGTTCCGGTACTCAGCGACGTTTTCCCGAGAAATATTGGCACGGCCGGTGTATAGAGCATCACCAGTGCTGTCATCCGCATAGCAATGAATGTTACCAGTTAGCAACATATCATTGATATGCAGAAGAAACAGCGTCAGAAGTTGCCGGATTCGAGGATTACCGTGTCCTCCCCTTCTCTACGGACTTCGGATAATCCTATAATATGCCAGCGTAACTTGTCTATCTCTTCTTCCAGCTCCACGATCTTCTCGTCAGTCCTCAGGGTGCGTGCGTTGTACGTTGCCAGGTCGAGTCGTCTAAGGTGGCAACCGAACCTCCACCGGAGATTCTTAGCACCCCCTGCCCCGCCGTTACCATGGTCGCCACTGTAGCCAGGAATAGCGGGGCCGCCGGGGACTGGGGCCATCTCTTTGTTACTCTCTTCATAGGAGGTATTTGCCATAGTTGCCACGCTTGGCGAGCGGGTTGGCAACCGCAGTTTTTTTTATTGTAATTTCTGCTACTATCAGGAAGATGCTGCTGCCAATTTCATGCCTGTTTCTCTTTCTCGCCTTTTACGACACCCACGGGAAGATATGGGGTAGTGGATATTCTTGACCGCCACTACACGGCTAATCGCTTATTTATCTCTTTTTTTTTATTGGGACATAAATTAGTTATGCATGTACAATGTAATACAAGACAATTTATAATAGGAGTACTTGACGTGTAACACCAATGCACACAAGGTAATATTATATGCTTAGCCTTTTGTTTCATACAATTGCGCAATTTATGAGAGTGTAGGAAATTATGCTGATCTATACAAATAAAAAAAATTGAAGTGTCTGTTTGTAATTTTAAGATAACAGCTTTTTACTAAATGCGTGTTAAAATGTATGCGGTACTCATAACAAAAAACAAATTTTAAAATTTTTGTCCGTCTGTCTGTATGTTTGTTTGTTACGGCTAATCTCCGAAACGGCTGAACCGATTCTGACGGGACTTTTTTCTTTCACTTGCAGGTAGCTGATGTTATAAGGAATAACTTAGGCTACTTTTATTTTAGGAAAAATTTAGGGTTCCGCGCTATATAAACGGCCAAGCGCGAGTCGGACTCGCGCATGAAGGGTTCTGTATCATCGTAATATACAATAATTTTAAATTTATGTTAATTTTTATTTGTTGTTATATCGGCAACAGAAATACATATTCTGTGAAAATTTCAACTGTCTACTTATTACGGATCATGAGATACAGCCCGCTGACTGACAGACGGACGGACAGCAGAGGCTTACTAGTAGGGTCCCGTTGGTTACCCTTTGGGTACGGAACCCTAAAAGAGGATACCAACGCAGTGATGGATTCTCTTACATCGCCGCAACTTTTTGATTATGATCCTACATTGGAAACATTTATTAATAGCTAAAATTATTCAATAATAATTCGCACATAAAACTTGCGATTTCTTCTCGGACACTAAGTATTAGCCTTGGGATATCAAGGTGGAAGGTTATCAAATATTATTTTAAGGATGTCAATATTTGAACTTGAATTAGTATATAAGATTTATTTTAAAGATTTAACGAGCAAACCGTTTATTGTTTACTTGTGTAGCAATCAACTCTTGGAAACAGACATGTCTAAGTTTACCGTATGTACCTATTTATTTACATATTTTAATTTCACATAAAGCTATTTGCTATTGCATTTAAATGATTCAAATAAGTATATAATTTACGTATTTTATATTTTTTATTATACCCTAAAAGTTTGTTTGTTTTAGGTTATATTATAAAATATTTACTGATATTCTTACTACTCATTAAGTAATGTGGTTTTGTTAGTTATTTGTGTTAATAATTCTTTTAGTTTTGTTAACTTAATATTGTTGTATAAATTGTTGTAATTTTTTGTAAAATTGTTGCGCTGTATGTTTTGGCGTAAATAAATAATAATCAGTTCAATTTTATAAGTATTACCAATCTAATAAATTGTCATACCATTGTCCCTTATGCACCGAGATAATTCTTGAAAGAAGAATAAATTACAAGAAAGTTTAAAAAAAAAGTTTTTTTTAATTAAGAAAATTAAGAAATTTCATATTAAACATAAGTTATACATCTATATTTAATTATTACAAAACTGTTTATTACAACTTGACAAGTTTTAATTTTTTCTAACTATTATAAGTCAAGGCTCAATTAGTATCCCACCTGACGGCAAGTGGTGATATAGCCAAAGATGATAAAACCCACTGACTTAGCCTAATGCCAGCCTACTCTTGCCTTGAACACATCTCATTGTAGTCGGATGGAAGTAAAGTTGCTGGCAAACTAATCCACTCCTTTGTTCTACGCATAACGACAGACGAAGCAAACTGTTTATTTCGAATGCGTGTTCTTGCAAGAAGTTTCTTGTATGTGTGGTATGTGGACAACAAAGTAGTAAAGACTAGCCAAACAGCCAAAGTGGCCAAGCATCTGGCTCTAGTCTTGTGATTCGATGGTGGAAGGGAGATGAAGAGATTACTGTAATTCCTGCTACCACTCTAGAAAAACAAATTGCTTTAATATAAGGTTCGCGAGGGTAATATGGTCGCCTTAAGCTTTGCTATAAAACCTAAACTAAGACGAAACCAAAGCCACAAACACATAGTCGTATACTATAACTAATATATTAAGAAAATATAGCAAACAAAGTTTTGACAATAATCAGGAACACTTTGAAAAATGATCTTAAAAAAACTAATTACACTATTCAATGCTAAAATCGACGAAAATATTTACCATAATGTCAACTGTCGTAATGGCGTCGCTAAAGTAGCGCCCATTTGACCGTTTATTATTTGATTGCCTGATGAAGAGGCTGTAGTTTTTGAGTTATAAGAAAGTTACCAAATTAACCGAATGACCATATTATCCTCACGTACTATATATTTAGCACAAGCATGTAAATTAATTATTTTAATTTCATACTACAATGTTCTTACAAATTTATGATCAAAGAACGTAAAATTTTAATTAAATCAATTGATGAACGTTATACATTCCTATAGCTATATGATTTATGAAACTTGGAACCCGCTCAACTTCAACTCTTTTATCGATAAGGCCAATAATCCCTATGGTCGTTTGTACCCTTTTTCACATTTATGTTTTTGATGGGCATTTAATATATACACAATACAATTATATTTTATGATTTTTTCTTTCAGATTGCTTTGGCTTTGATCGCCTTGTTTGCGCTGGTGTCGGCGCGACCGCAAAGTAAGTACTTAATATTATCAGTATGATTTACATTTATGTAATATTCTTTGAGGTTTTAATTAAATTTTTCTGATTTAAAATCAGGAAGCAACCGGTAGGCTGGAAAACGTCTACCTGCAACCTTTTTTTATTTCGTACACACTATTTCGCGTGCATTTCTGAATTTAATTAGGAATTATATTTAATAATGTATGCGTAGGCATATGAATGTAAGGTGTGTCAGGATCATGCAGTCCATAGTCTCTGCCTATTCCTCTGCGTGACAGGCGTGCGTTTTTATGTATATATGTATGTAAAAAAATAATCCGGAACAAAAATGGATTAGACCCAATTTGTATAATCTGCGTAAATTTGATGTTGAAATATTTAGGTGTTGACATGTTGTCCCAAATTTACTTTAGTCGAACTGTATTCATTTTGTTAGGAGAGATCATGTTTTAATTTAAAAAAAAATGTAGCTAAAAATTTATTTTAAATAATACGCACCATGCGCAGACGAAGTTATATCATGTGTAAATATTATTTGCGTCTTATCTAATTGACTAAAAAGAGTAAATCAACTCCAAGTCTTAAGTGTATGAGTTATGGTTCATTTTAAAAGGTCAGGAAAGAGCATCATATCGAGCTTTTGGGGTGTAATTTTCGCACTTTACATGGCCTCAACATCGTTATCTATTCAATGAAACAAAATTAATTGTGTTTGTTTCTACGTTAGAAAATGATTAATTTGACGCGCTTTATCGCGTTTTTTGACTTAAATAAATTTACTTATTTTAATTCCCGCTGTTTAGAGTGCTTTACATCACCCATTGTTATAGAAGTACTTAGACCGGTAATTTGTTTGACGTACTAATGTTACAGTTGACCCCTGCTACAAGCACCTTTAGAATATTACAGTCATTGTCATAGTAAATCCGCGTTAACTGTGACATCAGGTCGTAAAACCCTTCGGTCGCCTCATGTCCATGGAAATTATTATGGAACTAGCTGTTCCCCGTGACTTCGCCCGCATGGAAGTTATTACTATTGGATTTTATGGGTTTTAATTTTTTTTTGTAAGGAACTCTAGTTCTTTTTCTAAGATAAAAATAGCCTTTTTTTCTCCTTCTAACATCATAAGCTATCTGCCAGTGAAATCTCGTCAAAATGGGTCCAGCCATTTTGGAGATTAGCTGGAACAAACATATAGACTGAGAGTCAGACAGAGTCAAAAATTATAAAAAAATGTTTTTTTTATTATACTCCTATATCTATATTGTACGCATTTAGTAAAAGTTGTTATTTTGACATTACAAGCAGAAATTTCAATTTTATTTATTTGTATAGATTTCGTATATTATTTCTATTGCTAAGTATACTGAATATTCCTTTATAAGAATGAGTAGAAATAACATATGTAGGAATAGGGAACTGAAATAAATTCGTAAGACAATGACAAACCTCTTATAGTTTTTCTATTTGACAATGAAGACTATTTTGACTTTAGTTATTGTAAGCCGTGCTACACATTGTGTTAGCGTGCGTTGGTCTACGCACACTATGACAATTGAATTTCGTTGTTGTTAGCAATGCACATACACGTTTTATTTTGGTTGTTTTGACTTCGGTTGTTGTGCACGGCTAAAAACAACCAAAGTCAAAACTTCGTCGTCAAATAGAGTAACTATACCATAAAAGGTTATGCTAGTAGAAGTTCTTGTACTGTTATTTATTCTGTGGTAGAAGCCACTATTATCCAAAGTATAAAATTTATACATCATTTTTAATTTATTTTGTTTCAGATGGTCCTGGATCAGGTAAGACTTCTTATACGTACTTACCTAATTGCAAAAAATATTTCTTATATTGGTATTCTTATTTAGGTGAAATTAATACTTAGGTAGTAATAATATACACTTATTATATGTTTTTTGTATTCTTTCAGTGGATGTTGTCGAACAAGATCCCGGTGCAGGTATAAAATTGACATTACATACTATTTTGAAATTTTTATAATACATACATTTGAATGATTATTTTTTTTTTATTTCAGTGAACGTTGTTGGTGGAGGTGAACAAGGTTGGAAAAATATTTTATATAACATCTTTTTAATCACACTTATTTGTCATCCAGTCATTTATAAATTTTTTTATAGGATCGGGTGACAAACGAGCGCACAGTCCACCTGATGGTAAGTGGTTACTGTGACCCATAGACATCTACATCTATCCTCAATAAAGACTCAAAATGCAGATGCGTTGTCACCCGTGAGGACTAAGATGGAATGCCTCTTGTCCAGTAAAAAGGGTCTCCGGTTCTCTTCTCTACGAAACACAGCAACGTTAAGCTGCTATTTTACGCTGGTATTCGTGAGAGCATGGTCCTTCCCCGATCGAGCCGACCCATTCGTGCTACAACTATATTACTAATATAGCTGCAGCATGGCTCTACCACGTATGAATTACATGACAGCCTATCATAAGTCCACTGCTGAACATTGGCTTCATTTTTAACCTATTGGACCAATATTTGCTAGTTTCTACACTTGCCAGATGGGTTAGCAACCGTAGATTGCCGATAACACAAACCGATATCATCCCGTGATGAAGAACCAATCAGAAGTAAATGAATCAGTATATGGACAGCAGCCTCTTCCTGCTAACAGCTCAAAGCGGCAACTGTTGCAAATCCCTCTATTATGTAATGTATGTGTTTTTTATTGGGTTATCTATGGGGAAATTAGTTTAACCTGTGAACAGTAATGGACTTTTAATAGCATGTAACGGTAAGTTTAATGGAAATGGTAACGTGTTTCACATTACATAATAGGCATAATAATGAGCAAAAAGCAGTGCGATTAGTGTTTTCTGTGTGAATTTAGAACTCAATTTCCAAATGGATTTTTTTTTAATACGAAATAATAAACAAAGTAAATTACAAGAATTTAGTTAATACTTAGTATGTGATTAGATCGCCTGTAGTACATTTTCTACTTTAGATTTAACTGTATTCGTTTTGTTTTGTTTTTTGGTGTACAATAAAGAGTAAATAAATAAAATAAATAAACATGTCCATTGGTCTGGCCAAATTTTAGATTTTTACATTTAAGTGGTAGAGCCACGTTGGAGCTATATTATGATGATAGCACCAATAAGTCGGCTCGACCGGGGTAGGACCACGCTCAAATACCAGTGTAAAATAACAAATTGATGCCGATCTATTTTACTGGAAATGACGCATTTCATCTTCGTTCTCACTTTGACAACGCATTCTGCATTTTGATTATTAATCGAGGACAGATTTATATGTTTATAGGCCACAGCATCCACTTACCATCAGGTAAACTGTGTGCTAGTTTGTAACCCTTATTCTATTTTTAAAAAACGCCTAATTTCGTTAGGTGTTAAATTGCGGACTATGATAAATGATGTTGATAATAATGGTGATGGTAGTCGATAGACGACAAGAATATTGGATATATTTTTTGTTTATATAAATAGTTACTTATTTACGGTTACTTTTTGCCATCACAATTAATGAAATAACCTAATTTTCTTACAGTACAAGTTGTCGACGGAGGTGAACAAGGTATGTATATTTTCTATTTATTTTTTTATATATTACACTAGCTAGTGCAAGACATCGATACCACCCGATGTTAAATGATGCATGCTTGGGAGATAAAACATATATAATGTATAAAAAGCTTATAGACATATTGAAGAAATTTTGATTAGCCTTGTTTTGTGAACAACGTAGAGGCGTATCTAATTATAGGGTTAGGCATAGTGGCAACAGCGAGGCTCCTTTTCTTTCGTTCCCAAGATCTACTCAATAGATCTGTCCTACTAAACAACATGCTTTGACATGACGTACCTACTCATGATAGTGAAAAAGTATAAATACGCGGTGACAGAATATTGACAAGCATATAGATTTGATTATAGGTTTTATTATGTAACTTGCGTGATTTAATTTTTTACAAAAGTAATGTTCTTCGGCGTTTTGCTTTACTGAAGTCCTCTAGTAAAGATTTGTAATTAATTTTTGCAGCTAACTCTGCTCCGATTGAAAGTGTGGCTAAAGCAGAGTGTCGGTCCTGCTTCATAAATAATATGAATAAAAGAATTATTATAATTTACCGCATTATTTAGAAAATGATTCCTCTAAAATATAATTCATTGACGTAGTAGCTCATAAGAGTGGGTTGTAGCAGGTAAAATCGCATATCTGTTCCGTCAGTTCCACATCAACGAAAATAACAGTTCCAAAAACCTGTTACAAAATAGCAGTCTATTACTAGTCTTGGAAGGTACTTCTCTTTCTAACTAAGGTGTCGAACCTATGCGAGAAAAGGTCAGAGCTTGTGACAACTGTAACAAGGTGTCACAGTGTAACAGTAACATTTTTATCTTATTCTAATAAAGGTAACTGTCATATGTATGAATATAGATAATCTTGTGACGGTTTTTTAGTGGATTTGTTATGTCGTGGAACGAGAGATGGTATTACAATTTGTTTTTCACAGTTACATTCTGCTATTTTAAAATACCTGTTTCTTTTATCTGTTACGATAAATACGCCTAATACGCCTCACACGGTCAGCTCTCAGTTTGCTTTAAAATTCATTGTACACAAGAAAATCGAGTTCGATTTGTTGGCACTCATTTTTTATACTTAATTTTAATAAACTGATATTATCATCATGTAATCTACATGATGAAAATGGCCACGTTGGCTAATGGGCACATACAGCTGACTATAAATAAAGCCTAATATATTCATTATAATATATTTTTTTTTAATACATTTTGATACGGTACTTATATTGAGTTTTTCATAGCCTGTAATGTTTTGTATTGTTTTTCTTAGAAATTTTCATTTTCTCAGCTTGATCATCTCATCAGAGATATAATCGGTACATTTTTATGTCATTACTTACATTCTTCTTTTTTATTTCAGTTAATGTCGTCGATGGACCCAGTAAGTATTTTATAGTGTTAATTCACAAAAGCAAATATGAAACTTTTTATAGCATTGTTATACTAGCGCGACATGTTAATGAAAAATTAGCAATTATTTATCACACCTGTTATATTTTTAATTTTTGCTGGTTCTTCCCAGGACATAAGTATTTTTGAATCATGAAATATTTTTGAAAAATTTTGGTCAGTTAAACTTGAAATAATTTTCAATAAGTATAATTATATATTTTATTTTGAATAAAAATATGAAGAAAGATAAAGACGTCGTGGGAAAGATAATATTTTTCTTTCAAAAAACATAGTAAGCACGGTCGCCTCAGCCTAAATTAATTTATACAATCTAAGTGCCTAAACGGATGATTGGTGATTTTCCAAATTTGTTATTTTCCTTATACTTCACACCCATGGAAAAAATGTGTGATAGGCCGTTAAAATATATTACCTACACTTTAATTATTGCATTGTAAATAACAGTACTAATTACAAACCATTATTTACAGGCGGTCCGCAGCCAAGGCGATGAAACAGCAAGTATCTAGGTCTTAATGTTGACGTTGCGCGAGTCAACTTTATTTTAATATGCATAGCACTTTTATTTTTTGATAAATAATACATATTATTCAACGATAATTTTGTTTCCTTTTCACGATAGTATTCAAATGAATACTGAATTCATTTACACCTTTTACATTAAATAAACGGGTAAATCTCGCTTTTTGTTACTTGTTTGGATGTCTGCAGCATGAGGCCTCAGGTAAAAGACGGACAGAGACAGGATAACGAATTCGTGGTCCAGCGTTGAAAGTGACTTTTTTACAATTTATGCAACTTAATACTAACACAATTACACATAATACACTAAGATTAATCAGCAATAACTACTAGTGTGCGTGAATCTTGGTAACGAAATCACTGGGCTGCTGCATTGCAATGTTCAGTGCTGAACACGCAACTTAAACAGATTCACAGCGGTTATGCTCGAAGTTTAAAGAAAGAAAGAAGAATTTTTACGTGGTAGAGCCATACTGCAGCTATATTGTGGTTGCAGCACGAATGGGTCGGCTCGACCGGGGTAGGACCACGCTCTCACAGAATACCAGCGTAAAATAGCAGCTCAAAGCTGCTGTGTTTCATATGGTGAGTGTAGAGAACCGGACACCCTTTTTACTGGAAATGAGGCATTCCATCTCAGTAGTCAGGGTTGACAACGCATCTGTTGTCTGTGTATTCTGATTCTTAATTGAGGATAAATGTAGATGTCTATGGGCCACAGCATTCACTTATAATCCGGTGGACTGTGTGCTTGTTTGTTATCCATATTCTTAAAAAAAGAAGCCTCGAAGTTTCTTTGGATAAACTTCGTAATGAAGATGTCGATAGTAGAACCGGAGTAACTGACATAGCCAACGAAACAGTAAGCTGAAGTGGTAAGATGGTGCAAACAGGCCGCGTGACATACGAACCACGAACTCTTTTGTGAAGAATGTCCATTATTTTAATGTCTATCCGACCGATTTTGGGCCTTTATGCGCCGCATGATTCAATGTAGGTACTTACGACATATTACTTCAATGGTTCGTTTATCGCCCGTCCGCAATGAGACTGCCGTGATAATTGAAAATTTAAAAAAGGACAATTTTAACAATTTTTAAGTCGCCCTCCATGAAATTCGTGTTAAATTTATTATGTATGTTAAGTACTCGTATTATGTTTTTAGTGTTAGATTAAAAAAAGCCGCCATTTTAAACGAATTACTTTGTTATTGGACCGATTGCTTCCAAAAGCGATATTTGATATCTGAAGATCCTTGTTATCGTGAAAAACAAAATTTTGTCAAAATTTTAAATAATGATCGCCATAATTAAACACTTTTTTCTTCACAGATTGCTCTCTGGGAGTCCACGTGATCTATGAACACGAATCCTTCGTGAGAACTGAAGAAAAGGGCCGTCATTTCGAAAACTCTTGTTTTTTTTTTACCTATTTCTTTAAAATATTGACTTTCATATTGACCAGTTTGACAGTGATCACAGAGACAAGAGTTTTCAAAATGGCGGCCCTTTTTCAGTTTTGACGACAAATTCATATCCATAGACCATGTCGACTCCCAGATATTGATTTAAAAAACAAAGAGAATTTTTAAAATGACGTTGGTGACAACTTATTGCATTTTAAGAACGAATTCGTAATCGTAGACCTTGCGAATTCTCAAATATCAAATTTGATCAACTGACTATAATGAATACAACCACATGCACAAGTTCCTTTTATTTTCCACACAAGATGTTGTCAATTTTTGAATCGGTATCCCCACGTCACACATACACAGACAGCTCAAAGTTGTCACGCACACAAATCGGTCAATTCTGGCCCACATTTTGAAACGGAAAATTACCTAGAGCGCGTCGCGGTATCTGGATATAATGTACGCTCCACACTCAGTTCGCGAATCGGTCGTACTTTCGCGCCTCCTTCGTACATAACTCCCTGTTATGCACCCTGACCATGGCTATTGCGGTAGACAAACAATGTTTAATTTATATAAAATATTGTTTTATCAAGTGATTTCCTTTAATAAGTTCAAAGGTAAAGTGCTGTGGATTTTAAAGGTACATTTAGGCACAATAAGGCAGTTAATATTTAACATTGTTCGCCTACCAGTTCAGAATCGTAATGCCGCCATTAGCTGCGCTCCCGACATGACGCAACTTGGCAAAAATTTGAACTGATTACTTAATTTCAGTACGAAAATGATGAACGATATTATTGATATCGGTACACTTTTTGAAAGTGTTATATGGCTGTGGTTGCATTCTGCATTACGAATTTCTTTATACATTTTCAACAATGTTGTATGGTAAAGTGTACAAACTGCGAAAATAAAAGATCGTAGGTACGAATCTGTCATTCAACGACCTTCCGTCTTAAGATATTCCTGGTATGTAAATATTTATACTCCCAACATTAGTAGTGTTAATAGCAATCCTTATACACTTTTAAACTTAAATAAACTACCAATATTTGTCGGTTTTTTTGACGCGCGGACATAGAAGCGCGAAGAGATTTAGCTAACTTAGCGCGAAATTACGTGACTCCACACAAGGCACCCTTTAGTTTAATATCGGCATCATCTGGTTATGGTAGTTGAAGGATTAATAAACAAAACCAAAAACAATCTACTTTATAAAAAAATAATAGGATATATTGTATCTACTTCATATTCAGAATGGATGAATATATTATTAAAATTATTAATTTAAATACTCTAGTATCTAATAGAGAACGGGAGTTTCCTTAAACTATTACGATGGATAGTTGATATCAATCATTTTCATTTTCTCAAAACCTTAAAACCTTTTATATTCATAATGATTCATAATTATATTACACTAATGTGCTTATCAGAAGACGTCAATCTCCTTAAAATAGGTATACAAATGAGCAAATTTTATACGAAATCATACGAGTGTGGTGGAGTCAATTTTGCGGTGCTTATCGCCGCGATGCCACGCGCGTTTTACGAACTATGTGTAGAGCGGGCATAATATCCAAGTCTGTTTTAAAATTGCTAAAAATAAACACGACTTTGATGCGTACACGTTTAGTGAGGGGGATGGTGGGGAGACCCAACAGTCACCTAATTTAGCGACTGCCGACGTAAACGACTCTACGTAGCGCGAGATACAGTTACAAATCGTCTAGCACGCATAGTGGAAAACTTCGCGACACTAAAAAATATAAACACCTGAATGTATTTTTAGAATAAAGTAATTTATGACGGAATTTTCCGTAGTAACTACGTCTGGTTGTTCTGAGTCGCGTCGCTGAGTCCCATTTAATATTGAAAATAATACAACATAAAGAACGGACCCCTCACTTAGGCGATATTACGATATTAGTGTCGTAAATATTGGCGCTACAGCGTTGCTCAGTTTAATCAGAGTAGCCGATCGGATGATTGATGATGGTGATCTAACACATCAATATGATTGTGTACATTGACTGAAAGACTTCTACGTTCTACGCAACTTGATACATTAGACGGTTCAAGCTGTATCTCATGATTCACTTGACTCATTTTAATTAAACATAGTAGTTTTATGTTAGACTATTATCTACTCAATTATAAAATGTAAGTGAAATCCGTCGTGTCGTTTTATCGTAACAAACACACTGACAAACATTAATTCTAAACTTTGAGTTCCATTGTTTAATTCTAACAAACCTAGCCAATTTTTTTTATAGTACTAGACTTCGTTTGTATATACCTATATATAATTATATACTTCGATTGTTTCCATGATTGGTAATTAAGAAAATTTTATTGGTTTGAAGCTGTATTGCTTAGGGCCTAAATTTAGTTTTATGAACTACACCACTGCTCGAACTAAAGTAGTAATATACGAGTATGTTTAAACTTTTAAAGTAAAATTTCAACAGTAAAACGGCAAACGTGATGTTACAAATCACTTCTAAAAAAAAGAAAAATACAATCCACCTCATTGCTTCACCGGATGCAAGTCGGATATAGGTAACGGAATATTTCAAATGAGTTACTAAAACATTGTGTGATCACGATCCAGTCCGCTTTCGCCAAATAGAAATAGAGTTTGTTGCTTTATAAATCACCGTGTGTATTCAATTGAATAACCTTGTCATTTTCATGATGATCAATTTTTTATTATTTATACTTTTCTCTTTGCATGTACATGAATGTAAATCTACTGTATGAAAATACACCTTCCTTATAGTTTAGTACAACCTGTACTCGATCGTTCATTTTTATTCCACGGTATAATCTAATATAACCATGCCAAGTTTCGTCAAAATCCATCGAGTAGTTTCAGAGAGTAAGGGACAGGCAGACTGACAAAAAATAAAAAATAAATATTATATTTTCTATATCGATAACGAAGTATAACGCAATTAATTAAAAAACAATCAACGTACAGATTTGGCTTGTTACGAACAGTTTTATTATAGTACTAGCTGTGCCCGCGGCGTAGCTCGCGTATACAGGTTTTACATAAAGAATTTGTCGTTTAGGTAAGAGAATATTAAACGATTTATTTCATTACTGTATCAATAAGTTAGTCAAAAGGCAAGGCGTAGCGAAGAGTGCACGCCTTGCAATACATAACGCAGTGTTGGTACCGACTTTGTTATATGGCAGCGAAACCTGGGTATGCCAGAAGAAGCATAAAAGTAAGTTTAATGCAGTGGAGATGCGATCTCTTCGTAAAATGTGCGGCGTTACCATGGCCGACCGAAAGCGAAACGAAGAGATTCGCAATATGGCAGGTTTGAAAGATGACCTTATCACAAAAATTGATAAGGGCGTGCTTCGGTGGTTTGGGCACGTTGAGCGAATGAGTGAAGACCGAATGGTGAAGAAAATATATAGCGCGAAAGTTAATATTAAAAGGTATCGAGGTAGACCGAGACTAACTTTCGAAGACCATGTGAGCAAATTGCTCGAAGAGGGTAGGGTCAAGAGTACTCGGATACCTAGACGTGCATGCATGAAGAAGATAATGAATCTGAAAGAAGCGAAAGAGGTTTGTAAGGATCGTGACACTTGGCGATCTGTTCTCTCTGGCTACCCCGTCAGGGATTGTGCGTGAAGATAAGTATCAATAAGTGGTAACTAAATAAATCATTATCATCAAAGTTCTAAGTCGTTTATGATAGAGCTTCTGTGTAAACGACGTTAGAAGTAGGCTTAGCCGGGGTGTACACAAAAAGGTTACGGGGGCTACTAACGCGGGAAAAAGCAACATAGAGTTGGCCATGTGCAAAACAGTCAGTACTGAGGTACACTCCTACAACGCGTAAAGTTTGACCTTGCGCTTTATTTACGGTCATCGCATAACACACGCTCACTGTAACTGGGAACTGAACGCGCTTAAAACTGAAAGGAAAGTTACTTCTTAATAGAGGGTTTTTGGGCAGTGCTGCCAGATAAAAAAAAACTCATTCAGCTCTAGGGCAACACAAAAAGCGCTAGACTTCATGAAAACAGCGCTTTAAAAAAGCCCTAGATTTCGCGCTAAATTAACTACAAACAAAGTTTGTGTTTTTTTATATAATCATAATAAAGAAAACAACATTAAGTTTTTTTTTCTGGCTATATTTTTTTGATGTATCAATACTTCGCAGGACATCGACTTATAATTATGGCAATTGCTGTAGTTAGTACTGTACGAACAATAAAAATGTCATTAATTGTTTTAAAGTGCAATGTATTTCGCAACTTATTTTCAGATGTCAGCATCTGATTGCGGTTGCTACACAGTTTCTTTGTGTTATAACTTCTAAGTGAACTTTTAACTTAGCTGTGCTCTAAGCAACTGACTGAAACTGAATAAAGCAAAATAAATGCGTTGCCAAAACCATGAACGAAAACTTTAATAAAGGGGATTTCCCCGCTTATAGTCGTCGGTAAAAAAATCAAGTTGATCATCCTAAAGGGGAAGCCAGGAGATCCATAGCACAGGGTATCCTAGTTTGGACTCGTCTCCCATGCTCTTTGTTTTGTGGAAAAAATATGTTTGAAAAAGATAAACTGCAATGTACTATTTGTGGGAAAAAATAATAAAGGTCATTATTATTATTATCGGTAATGAGGACTAACAGTGCTGCTATAAAAGAGTTAATAACCCGCTAATCACTAAAATATTGAAATGTGTGCTAAATACACCAAAAAGCGCTGGATTAAGCTAGGTGCTAAAATTTCGAAATGCGCGCTATACATTCCAAAAAAGCGCTAAATCTAGTTCCCAAAGCGCTAAAATGGCAGTACTGATTTTGCGTATATTATAAATACAATATCACGACATTTCGTTGCAAAATTTTTATTTTTGGTCGGGTTCCGTTGTATGGCTTCGATGGATACAAATTTCTTCAGTAAGTCTCAATACGATTCATCGGCGAAAAATCTCAACATAGCAATTCAGAAAAGTTTGTAAATTGTACAACTCCATCTATTACGTCCTTTGTGTTAGAAAACATCCTTTTTAAATCTCTTTTTGTGTTTTAAGTATAAATATATTAATTATTATTGAACGTTTTTTTACACACAAATCTTTTTATTACTATTTCTGAGATTTTATGGCGCCATTGAACAAATTCGAACCTACATTTCAAAATAATAATCATTACTTTCGAAAGAATTAACCAATTTTAATAAAATAAAGATTAAATGTAACTCGAAGATACGCTTTATGATTTTCTTAACGATTTCTTTGAAAATAAAAGATGTTTACTTTAGACGTGATGCGTTCATATAATAACAGACAGACAATTCTAAAAATTATAAAATGTTCTTATTTAATTATTTTCAGTTCCCCATAATGATTTTAGCCACCAAAATATATATACAATGTACAGAAAGAGACACAACATGTTATCATCATTTTTATTATATGTATATATTTAAAGAGAGATGGCGCTGCTAACATCAATTCTAAAAATAAAAGAGATTAATTGACGCGATTGATACATTATATAAAACGCAATACAACTTATAAATCAGTGCCTACACAGTAAGCAAAAAATAAAGTTTGACTCTCGCCAAAACCAACGCAATTGTTAATAGCTCTTTTAAAATTTGATTTACCACATAGAGTACTCGGCGGTAAAGAATAAATTGAGTTTGTCAACACGCAGTAGGGCGGCGAGTAATATAATAAAGATTAGCAGTAAATATGAAAACTCATCTACAGGAAAAAACCACATTGCAATTGCATTGCATTTTCACAACACCACCATCTATCGAAGAAATGGGTTAACTATTGTGCTTCAGATTTAGTTAATAATGTTAATATATTTTTGTATAATTTTGTTAATATTTTATACGTTCTTTAATACTTTTGTTTACTGCGTTTTAGATATACATAATTATATCATTATTTTACATAATTTAACTATGATTTATGATATGATATTAGTTTAAAATGCACTTGATGACTCAAACAAAGCCACCGTTGAGCAAATTCGTACCTATACTTCCCTACCCATACTTCAGAATATTTATCATAACTTTTGATGGAATGAACTGATTTTAATGAAATAAAGACTAAAAGTAACCCGAAGATACACTTTATAATTTCCTTAACAATTCTTATGATATAAATTAGTACTTTATACGTGATACGTTAACAAACAAACAGACAGACAGACAGACAGACAGAAAATTCTAAAAATGGTAGAAATGTATTTAATTACTTATTTTTAGTACCCCTCAATCACTTTTATTACAAAAATATAAAATGCTATTTACAGTTTTATTATATGTATAGATAGATAGTAGATACAATTATACATATAGATATTAGTTAACGCAATACTCGAAACGCTTGAGTGACGCTAAGCCTTGCTATCGCGACCTACTTTGACATAATGTTTTGTAATATTATTTAAGTATTAGCTTAGCAGTATTTGTATAATTTTCGTATATAATAAGAACACTCGGGATTATTTTTTCTTTCTTTAATAATGTATGTAATGCCAACAAGAATGAAAAAGTAAGAATTTGCAGATGATATTCGATCAAAAAAGTTATTGATTTTTACGTTACCGTTACTGTTACAGCGTATTAAAGTCCAGTGTTGAATATAGGCCTCCACCATAGATTGCCTCATAGGGTATTTGCCATAGTTGCCACGCATGGCAAGCGGATTGGCAACTGCAGTTATTTATTTTTGGTCGTTATTAGAAAGACGCTCCTGCCCATCTCCTGATTTGTCACCTATTCGACACCCACAGGATGATATAGTGTATTAATGTATATTCTTAAATCACCAATAGGTTTTATTTATTAAATAAAAAAGAAAAGACGAATTCAAATTGATGAATTACTTGTGTACATGTTGTGTCCCAAATTTTAACAACCGAACAGAACACTATTTTTTTCATTTTTAGCAAAATCGAATCCTTCACTGAACGTGGAATTTTTTAGATTTTTGAACGAAGTTCCTTATTGGACGGTACGGGTTTGGCGGATGGAAGCTAGGCGACAAAAAGTGTAAGATATTTTCGTCACTACCCCTTGTGTCATAGTGTAGACGGGGGTAATCTGAGTTAGATTGCCTTGGCGGCGAAATAAGGAAGTGAGATGGAATAATATCCATCTCCCTCGCACTTTTTCTTATCTTGCCATGAAAAAAATATTATTTTATTTCAAATTACGCTTCATTTTAATAGACGCTAGCGATTCATTTATTTGTGTTTGTTAATCAATAATTGTCAATAATAATATACTACGCAAGGAACTTCGTTCCAACCGAGTGTTCCACGACACTCGCGCATTTGTATTTATATTATTATATGGAGAGGTTAAAAAACCAAATTATAAGTATTTTATTACGTAGAGAGCCACGCTGCAACTGCATTATGGCTGAGCCACTAGTGGATCGGCTTGAACGCTCTACCACACTCGCACAAAATTCCAGTAAGAAATAACAGTTTAATTATGTTGCATTTCGTATGGTAAGTAATGACCACCGAAAATCCCTTTTACTTGTACGCTCTGGGTATGAAGTACACATCGTTCAGCAAGGAAACGCTGACAATGCCGCGGTGAGAAGGACTATAATATTTTGTTTCTCAGGCAAAATTTTCTGTTCACAGTAGTACACAAAGTGATTGTATGTGTAGCTTGACACATTAACAAAGTAGTCAAGTAAGTAAAAATGTAATGCATTATTTAACTACAACATAACAAACGTCCTTATACTGCATTTTGTTTATTTTCCTTTCTTATCCACTTTTGATCGTACAAAAAAAAACAAGATAAGACAGATCGTGCTAAATGAAGTTAGTTCAATCGTCCCCAATGACATCACATACTAAAGGAGCCACAACTGACTTTAATTGACTGCAACTACGTAGCGGCCGATCGCTGTCGACTGTTCCAATCTGACCTCGGTTGCAGCACGTCTCATAGTGACAACATTAAAAATACGCTAAACTACGAAAAAATGAGTACATATATTGCTGGATTAATTTGCGCCATCATTTTGGTAAGTTTTCACACTTTTATCACATTAATGTTTTTACTCCGTATGGTTATGCTCTCGATTGGCATGAATAATCGCAGGTAACTACAACGATTTATTGTTCGCAGGCGGTATTTATAACTGTGTGGATAGCGTATTGCATGTTTTGCAGAGAGAGACACAAACCAGAATATTACCAACGCAATATCGACGATTTGCGGCTTAGAAATTTTGAGATTGCGCAAGAGCAAGACGACCAAATCAAGAAACAAATAACAGCTGGCATTTTTATTTTACCGTCGCGTCATAAGCACCACGATGACGACTATGTAAGCAGACCTGATTATCCGGAAAGTCCGGCTCCGCACTTGCAACCGAATACGGAAAGGCTTATAGACATTCTAAATGACAGCCCGGACGAAGTACACAAATCTGTCAGTTTCGATTTGGATTCATCAGAGCGCTACTGTAGCGATGTTTAATTATTATCAAGTATGTTATTTAGTAAACTTTACTTTTCTTTTGTAAAATTTCATTAATATAATTTCATTTATGTACCCACCAAATTTTGCAATAAACGCCATTGTTCAATGTGTTGTTTGTGTATTTGCTGTGGTGTGATTTTTATACGAATATTGCAAGCAGAAAACGTTTATTAGCCATTCAAGCATTAACACAACATGTTTATAATAATTACAACATAACGCAGAAGATATTCTAATCACAAAATATTGCTAATAGTTATGCAGTAATACTTTACTTTGAATGAATGATCTTTCATTTATTTATTTCTATATTTACGTTTTATTGTTTAAAAACCTTAACAGGGGTATTACAAAGTCAATGCCTTCATGCATTCTCTCCCAGTCAACACTGAGCATAGTAAAAACATATATCACATTCATAAATCATTAATCGCCTCCCCGAAGGAATGCCGCAAACAGTCCTGTGTCACCATCATCCATCGACTTCCTATATCGTCACTACATCTAGTAGGGGGCGCCCAACACTTACCGGTATAAAGCTGCCACTCGTGAATCTTTCCCTTTCTTTCCCAACAGTTGTAGGTTCTTCGAGCTATATGGCCGACCCAATGCCACTTCAGCTTTTTAATACTCTGGGCCATATCTGTGACTCTCGTTCTACTGCGGATATCTTCATTTATAAGTTTAATACGCAGAACAACTTTCTTTTACATGATAAAGCCATAATGCTGCCATATTGACGGCTCCGTGGCGCAGTGGCTTAGCAATGAGTTGCTTGCGCTGGGGTGGGTGGGTTCGGATCCCGCACGGAACAAGTATTTGTATGGCCTACAAATAATTGTCCCGGGTCTGGATGTTTGTCCTTGTGAAATTTGTGTTTGTAAACTGCCTCCACGATACAGGAGAATATCCTAGTGTTACGAACGTTTAAAAAAAATAAAAAATAAAAAGATTATAGTTGTAGCATAAATAGGCTCGATCGGAGAAGGACCACTCTTTCACAGAATACCAGCGTAAAACAGCAGCTTAATACTGCTGTGTTTCGTATGGTGGGTGTGGAGAACCGGAGACTCTTTTTACTGGATACGATGCATTCCATCCTAGTTATCAGGGGTGACAACACAACTGCGTTTTGATTCGATAGATTTAGATGTCTTTCACCACAACATCCAATTACCATCAGGTGGACTGTGTGCTAGTTTCTGACTTTTATGCTACAAAAAAGACATAGCATAGACTTAAAGACTAATACGAAATACAGTAGTAGCTGCTATTTTACGCTGGTATTTTGGGAGAGTGTGGTCCTTTCCCGGTTGAGTCGACCCAGCTGTAGCATGGCTCTTCCACGTGGTGTTTCACACTCTTAGTTAGTTTCTCACTCCCTTACAACACCCACGGGAGAATATGGGGTAGTGGATATTCTTACACCACCACTACACAGTAAAAATCCCACGTAGCGAAGAATAAATAATAGTACTAAGCATTAGTGATAGGTGCATTAATTGAAACCAACATTATATGAAAATAATAAAACAATTTATTTAATACGCGTTAAGGTGACAAAAAACGATAAATATATTGAATATATATTTATTACAGAAACAGTTAAATGTAATTACTCGTAATATGCCATTAATAGATTTTTAATAGCCGTAATAGAGTACAGTAAACTATAGAGTTAATCGATATGACATGTAAATTTTTATCATTTTAATTCATATTCGTAAAATAGTTATTGACCAAGATATTTTTAACACCATTTACTTTTTGCTCTTTTCTGTTGGTTTAACCGCATCGGCGGCAGCTTTGGCCACGTCGCTTGCTGCCTTTTTCGCATCTTTCGCAGCAGTTTTCGCGTCCTCCGCGACGTCACGCTTTAGTCTATTCCCTTCTGATGGAAATGCAGCTGCGGCTACCACAAGCAGCTAAAAATATACATAGAAATTACAGTATAATGAAAATAGGAAAGCAAACATTTTATTATAATTAAAAATATGCAAATCATATTTAAACATGGTTATTTTTCTTGATAAAACCTGTGCATTGGCCAATAGCCTTCATCGTCCCACTGTTTTGATTTATTGCATGAAAGTGTTAAATTGGTACTGGCAGTTTGTTGCTAGTTTAAGAGAATCTATCGCTCCATTTCGTCCCGTGAGTTTCGTAATAGGTGAATTTGGGATAAATGCCAAAAAAGTCATTGGCTGCTAAAAATGATATTACCATCACCATTTTCTTGGTTTTGGAGAAATCTGGGTGGCCGAGCGCTATCGTTATACGCTTTACAACAGTGGCAATGGTTTGGTAATCGGTGAGTTATGTTGGTGAGTTGGTGTTGAATTTATTACGTAATGTAGTATTACAAATTTTAATTAGCTTTATTCGATTTTTGAGGAATGATAACGACCTCCAGTGTAAAATACCCGAAACGGCGACGGATAGTATCAGTAGCGTAAAATGCGAGAGTCAAATCCCCTCTACCCCAGACCGACCCATGTCCAGCTATGGGCATTTAGGGCTGATGACGATGAACGAGTAGAAGATATATTGATTTACTTAAATCGTTGCAAAAGACACTTTTAAGACACAAAAAAAGTTTACAGTGAAGTAACAATGATGAGGAACCATGGTAGCTCCGGGGGCTTAGCGCTCGCTGTAAATTTCACAGTAAGGTTGCATCCCGGGTACAATCCCTGTCAGCACCTATGAAATTGTTATGAATTGTAATTTTGAAGAAGTTGGTGTCGTTGGTGAAGGAAAACATCATGAGAAAACCTGCATATCTAAAATATAAAAGATAATATTTCGAAGGCATGTTAAGCCCACCAACATGCATTGGGACAGCGCGGTGGACACTTCCTTGCCCTAAAACCCTCTCAAAAGTGACAGAAAGCCTGTGCCCAGCTGTAGGACGTAGATATATATAGACGGTATCTTTAACGATGATCCTATTCAAGATTTTTGTCTCCTGATAGTCATATAAATGAGAAAATGATACAAATTTATAATTATTTGACAAAATGTTTAGATATTTTGATCTAGTGTATTGATTGTGTCCACATTAATGTTGAAGATGGCTGGAACTATAGTCTACAATCAGCTAAGAAGCTTGGTGAGTGATTCCAGCAATTCTTCCAAAGCGGGGAGAGAAAATGTTTAAGAAAGGTTCAAAAAGTCAACAATGTGGTAAAGATTAAATAGTTATTCAATTATTTAGATTTCTTAAAACCTGAAAGTTAATATTAAAATTATTTGAATCAGGCGTCGTCATTATCATTACTATTATCAAATGTTCTTCCCCATAGATTGTCTCATAGAATAGAATCATTTTTATGCGATATAAATTGTAGATTACATGTAATTCTTCAAGAAGCTCAAGGTCGCTCAGCGAGCTACGGAGAGGGCTATGCTCGGAGTTTCTCTGCGTGATAAACTTAGAAATGAGGATATCCGCAGTAGAACCAGAGTGACTGACATAGCCCAACGGATTAGTAAGCTGAAGTGGCAATGGGCAAGCCATATAGCTCGAAGAACCGACAACCGATGGGGAAAAAAGCTTCTCGAGTGACGGCCTCGTACCGTCGGATGAAGTGTAGGGCGTCCCCCCACTGGATGGAGTGACGATCTGGTAAGACATGCAGGAAGTCGATGGATGCAGGTGGCCCAGGACCGTGCTTTGTGGCATTCCTTGGGGGAGGCCTATGTTTAGCAGTGGACTTGTGAAGGGCTGTAATGATGAATGATGATGATGATGTAATTCTTATTGAAAGTCAATTTACCACTGGGAGTTGTGGGTTTGGTGATATATAGTGGTGGGTAATGTAAGCGATTGTAGAAGGGCGCTATTCTTGAAATTAAGCAATACATACTCTTTTATTTTGCAAGCGGATCTTAGCTAAATATTTTGTTATTTTAAATAATATATACTTACAAAAACGAATAAAAATATTGCTCGAAAATTCATATTGTCAATGAGTAATGAAAAAAAAAACCTAAAAATATGCAGAGTCACAGCTAAAAGAGGATCTTGTTTCTATGAAAGCTGAAATCTGACTGACTAACGATCATGTTAAAGATAAACAGGAAGGCTCGAATTGTAATGGTCATTCATGTTTTGCTACAGTAATCAGCAACATTCTAATAGGGTACAGCATAAGGCCTCAAATGCCCTAGAGTTAAGTGGTTCCGTCCGTTTACGATACAATAGAATAATTTCCTTCCAAAGAGTCTGGAATACTATTTCGCTGTTTCCGAAAATAGAACAGATTTAATATATAATATCATATTGTGAAATTAAAGCTATTGTAGAGTTAAATGTAAATAATACATTTAGCTCTACTATACTTATACACACCCCAGTCAAATGTCGTCCTACGTGCATTCCCTAATATAATGAGGAGTAGTGAAGGTATAGGAAATTTTATAATGCAATGCCATTTTATACTGTCATCTCATGAGAAAGAACTACGAAATAAACATTTAAAATAATAAATAGCCTAATTTGTGACGATTCGATCAATGTAAATTTTATTTATAGCTGGCACACAAAATTAAAAAGATAATTATCATTGTTTCATTAGCACCTGCCAGCGTGGAATTGCCGCGGAGGCCTCAGCACACCTTGACACTTTAAATAAAATGGCCGCCATTCCAGAAGCTATTAAATAAGTAGTACACAAAATTAACACCCATTTAGGTAAAATACTGAAGACTGTTTTTCTTCTAACAATGCGTAAGCTGGCAACCATTATTTTAAGTTTTTGCCTGTACGCACTACGGGGCCATGACAGGGCATGTAGGTTGGTGATCGAAGAGCCAATAACATCATATTGATCATTAATCTGTAAATTTGGGCTCATCGATTCTGTATAGACTTTTCAACATGAGCTGGTTGCCAAAGCCTCATACAACCAGTGAGGTGCACGATGTGCATATACTCTCTTAGACCTTATGTACTCGTAACATGCCACAGAAAAATACTCAGACCGATGAAATAA